CTCATTTGGGAAGCTGAAGGGTGTCAAGGGAAACATGCAGTTCAACCAGAATGGTGCATTGCAGACTATTTATCTCGCCGCCCTCGAATCAGCTGCGACCATGGCCATCACCGCCAACGGAAACGATGCTACCGTGCTGCTCCCTTGGCTGTCGTCCATCGGAAACAGCACTACTTCTGCGACCTCAGACTTCAGCGGACTTGGCAAGATTGAGTTTTCATCCCTACGCACGGTCAATGGTTCACTGACCTTTGAGTCTAATTCGTTTGAGGATCTTACTATTCCTTTGATCAAGGAGATGAATGGTGCTATCACTGTGGAGGACAACCCTTCTCTAACGACGTTTGCTTTGCCGAGAGTTACATACGTGGATGAACTGGACATCAGCAGCAACGACAAACTCACCAATATTACAGCCAACGCTCTCAAGACCGCTGGCACAATTGCGATCAAAGGATCCTTCACAAACGTTGAGTTCTTCAATCTGAAGAAGGTTACGGGGGATTTCAAGGTCTCTGGTGATGAGTCTATGGACTGCAGCTGGTTTGATGCTAATATCAAGAGCATCGTTGAAGGAAAGTACACTTGTGTCGGAGATCACGACAAGAAGGAGAGGAAGCCTAGTACTGGAGGCATCGAGGATACTGAGGGCAACCCTAAGGATTATATGACAAACCCAGATGAAGATGGAGGTAATAGTGGTAGCAGCGGTGGCAGCAGTGGAAGTGGAAGTGGCTCGGGCAGTGGAAGTGGAAGTGGCAGTTCTGACGGTGACAAAGAAGGCTCAAAGGGAGGGCTTTCAACAGGTGCAAAGGCTGGCATTGGAATCGGCGTTGCCATCATCGTTGTTCTTCTTATCGTCGGCGCCGTGATGTTCTGGCTCTGGCGCCGCCGTCAAACCGCAGCACCCGGCGAAAAGCGCCTCGGCAGCAGTGGCAGCGGCTCAACCAAGAAGGGCATCTTTGATGGACAGCAAATGGGTGTCCAAACAAAGATCGAGGCCACCAACCCCAGCCCATCTCCCAGCATCGGCACTTTGAATTTCGGCCGCAACTCTCTCATTGAGTCGACTGGTGGCTTTACCGAGAAGAGTCTCAATGCCTGGAAGACGATCCGAAGAGTTAGTGTTTCTTCAGGTGGTTCTTCGACTGTCAAGGAGGGAACTAGTATTCTCAAGGGTTGAGGAGGAGAGAGCAGAACAGAACAGAACAGATAAGATGGCGAGTGTTTAAAATGCAATTCAGCGTATAGTGATACCACAGTCCTTTTAATAGACATCAGCAGGAAACGGCCTGCATCTCTTTTCATAGGGTAATTTTAATATTATTAGGTTAAACAGGCTATCAGAATTCACTCACTCACCTCAGTCAACCGTCCGCTATTCATCTTGCATGAGAGATAAGGGAACGTCAGCTAAGACCCCAATTAAACAGCTGGACCCTTAAATTTCCAAGAAAAAGAAGGTAAACGAAAAGCTGAACCACTTTAAAACAATCCACGCAAGACATTACATTTGATGTGGAGATGATCTCCAACTTTTCTCACTCAATCACAAAGCTTCACATGCGCATCTGAGGCTTCTGACTTGGTGAACAGAGACCCACCTGCTGATTACGAGAGGTAAGTGCCCCTCATCAGCAGAATCCCTTTAACAGGTGATCGTCGTGCGGTGAAAACACCAAAGTTGTCATTCTCATTCATCTTGACAGTCAATCTCTTGCACTTGACCTTCCTGTTGCAATTGAACCTTTTGTTGGGCAAATAACACTGCAAAATCACGTCTTAGCCTTATCGCACGCAGCTAAAATGACGTACCCCCGTCCCGATTTCGAGCGTAACCGACTTCGTTGGGAGTCCCTCAACGGACAATGGGATTTCCTCTTCGACGACGGAGATTCCGGCCTCAACGAGAATTGGCAGCGTAAAGGCCTTCCAGATAAGGCCAATGTCAATACCTCTGCAAATCGCAAAGAAACTGGTCAGAATGAAAGCGTGGTACAGAAGATCATGGGTGACGCCCATTCTCTCATTCAGAACAACGTCTTCGCTTCATCCTCGCAAGCCACCAACTCAAAAACCAAAATCAATGTTCCTTATGTCTTCCAATCTCCTGCCTCTGGTATCAATGACCGCGGAGTTCATGAGGTTATGTGGTATGAGCGTGCCATCTCAGACTTGCGATCAGCGCAGGAGAAGGAGAAGGGTCACAAGCTGGTCTTGAGATTTGGTGCTGTTGATTACGAGGCCACTGTTTGGGTCAATGGGGATTATGTCGGTGGTCATCGGGGCGGACACGTTCCCTTCGAAATTGACATCACTGATGCCGTGGATGCCGCTAAGGATGCTACTACTCACCGAGTCACCTTGCGCGTCTATGATTCGGCTTATGATCTGACACAACCTCGAGGCAAGCAATACTGGGCTGCCAAGCCAGAGACTATTTTCTACACTCCCTCTGGTGGAATCTGGCAGTCTGTTTGGCTCGAGGTTGTTCCTAGTGCTCGTATTGCTGATAGCTCTTATGGCACGGTTATCAAGTCTAATGATATCCAATCTGGCCAGCTTCGAAGTACCATCGCTGTCAAAGGACGAAGAATTGGAAAGGACTATTCTGTCGAGCTTGAATCCAGCTTTGCTGGTATTCCTGTTGCTAAGTCGGACAAGAAGGCTCTGCCCCGAGAGACGAGCTCCGTTGGCGTTGAGCTGAACATGCGCCTGTCCGAAGAGCAGAGGTCCAAGCTACCCAAGTCTGTCACTGAAGGTGCCCCTCTGGACAACGACTTTGCTTGGCGCGATGGTGTTGCACTCTGGTCTCCTGAGCATCCCCAACTCTATGACCTCGTTATTCGCCTTTATGATGACGCCGAGAATGTCATAGACGAAGTCAAGACAACCGCCGGTATGAGGAACATCAACTGGACAACAGGAGATGGTACCTGGCGACTCAACGACAAGCCCTACTTCCAAGCTCTCTGCCTAGACCAAGGCTACTGGCCTGAGACCTTCATGACTCCTCCTAGCTCCGAGAGTCTCAAGCTGGATATTGAGCTTGCCAAGAAGATGGGCCTCAACGGTTGCAGAAAGCACCAGAAGGTTGAGGATCCCCTCTTCTACTACTGGGCTGACAAGCTTGGCTTCCTCGTCTGGGGTGAGATTGCGAATGCTTATGCGTTCAGTGCTGAGTATGTTGATCGATTCAACGCCGAGTGGACTGAAGCAGTCAAGCTGGTTATCAACCGTCCATCAGTGGTGACATGGACTCCTGTGAATGAAAGCTGGGCTTACCCTAACCTTGAGGATAACGCTGATCAGCGTAACCACATTCGTCAGCTCTACTATCTCACCAAGTAAGTATTCCGGTCCGGCTTTGTTTTCAGACCCGTGCTAACAGCTCTAGGTGCCTTGATGATACACGAAGTATCAATGATAACTGTGGATGGCAGCATGTCCTGACTGACCTAACCACATTCCATGACTATAGCGATGGCCCTGAGATCGAAAAGACCTGCTCAACTCTAGAGGGCATCATTAGCCCAAAGGCGGGTCGAGGTGTCTTCCTACCACCTATTCCTGGTGTTGACGAGGGCTCTAAGCATAAGCCTGGCGCTCCAGTCATGAACACCGAATTTGGAGGTGTCAACATTGCACCAGCCAAGAAGGAAGATGGCGATAGCCTCGATTGGGGTTACACCACCGCTACCAACGCTGATGACCTGGTACAGAGAATTGAGCGCCTCGTCAATGGTGTTGTCTTGGGAGGACAGTGCTGTGCTTTCGTCTATACTCAGCTGTAAGTTTGATTTGACTCCTGTGTTGATATGAGACTAATGATATGTAGGGCGGATATTGAGCAGGAGGTCAACGGACTGTACACTTTCAACCGAGAGGCGAAGTTGGATGCTTCCAAGGTTAAGGCTGTGATCGACAAGGCTCTCGGTGCTTACTACAACAGGGTCAAATGAGAGTCACGTCAGGTATACTCTACATAGTGCGCCGAGTTGAGGCTGGCCTTTGAATAATTAGCTCCGAAGTAGGTATGATACGAATGATATATCCTTCGTATGATTACATACCTGAGTCACTCACAAATTATGAAATGGCCACAGAGATACTTCAGGTACCCTGGAGAGCATAGCCATGGTATTTCGAAACCGATCCAGCCAATATATGCCTGTGAAATCGATCATGGGCTGATTTATTCATTGGCATTATTGGAACTTACAGCTATTTTCTATTGAGATAGACCCATGTTCCAACCAGAGACCTAAATCAACCCTATTATACTTCCAAAATACAACTTCAGGGTATCAAAGGCGGCACCTGTGTTCATGGCCCTTGAAATGATGATACATTGGTCACATTGCAAACAATCATGCTTACTATATGAAGCTCTGATTGGACGACATACCAAGGCCACATAAATATAACTTCACAGGATGAACCTCTGTGATGAAAGTAATATTAAACTGATTTTCGACCGTTGCATGCTGGGATTTCACGTCCATGTCAAGCCTCGACAAAGAATCGGATGATGTTTGCTTTTGTGACACAGTGCTAGTCCTCGCTAAGAACAGAGCCAGTCCAAGTTTGATGATCAATTGAAAATCAACAAAACAAGACAATTCTGTAGAGTAACATGACCAAAACACTTCTCAATAATATCTTAGAGATTCTCACTTAAAATCAAATCATCACAGCGTCGGCATTGTCCATAATATGGCATCATGAGTTCATGACTGCGGGGATCGGGAAAAGCGCTGCCATATCACGTGATTTTACATGAGATCGGGTCGACTCACCAGACCTGGACCCGACGCTCCATGATGTGGCTGGGGGGATCATCACCAGTTCAATCACGGCGCCAGACCCGGCTTTTTGCCCGCGGTTGGGAGCATCACTATCTTATCGCATCATCACAGTATATGATATCAACTTTCGTTCCATTTAATTGTATGCCGTAGTCGCGCGCGCTTCCTCTCCTTCGCCTCGCCTCAGGCGCGATGCCTTCGACACGGCCGCCAAACGCGCAGTCGCCCATCGTTGATGTCGACGGCGCCCTCGATAACATCGACACCATTCGCATCCCCGAACCCCACGGCACATACTTACAAACACGCGGAGCTCGCGCAGCTCGTCGAATATACAAAGCTATGGGTGTTTGGCCATGGGACATTGTTCCCGAAGCACCTCCTAAGATGTGGGCTATCAATCTACTGGAGGACCTCGCCCTTGTCGCAGACCATGTTGCCAGAAATCCTGGCGATACGTTACAAGACCTTCAAACAGAGCTTCGGAAGTCTCTTGCACGCGATCGCAAACCTTCTTATGCTGGAAAATTGATGGCGCAGGATGTCCACGCTGCAAAGAAGCGATTCGTTCGAACAATGCCTCCATCTCCTGATGCTCAAGACGACACTGGTGATGATGTCGGTACTGCCGAGCGACGATCCGGACGGCGGCGAAGAACCGCAAACTATAGCGCTCCAGACTCACCAATTGACCCATCGCGATCGCGCCGAGATACTTCTTCAGAGGAGAGCGAGGAGCACATGGCCTCGTCTATTACCGTCGCCTCAGAGTTTCCTCCATCCCCCCCTGTACCTCGCAACATCAAGCATCTGAAAAGACCAGCCACAACAATACCTACGCCGATTGAGAAGCGTGTCCGTCATAGTTCGCCAGAAGGTTCGCGCCTGTCAGCTGCGCAGAGCCTCATGATGTTTAGCTCTCCGATGGCTTCGTTCCAAATGGCCACATCTTTTGGCCCAAGTGCAACTGTCTGTTTGGCGAATATGCGATGAGGCTTTATACTGATACCTTGATAGGCCAATGCTACTCGTTCCCTCGAACCGAATAATCTCCAGGAAGCGTTAAAACCTGCGACCAATGTCTTCGTCGCAGCAATTGACGCACATGTCCGAACGATACGTTCCTCGCTTGCTATTGCACAACAGGAAATATTTCCTCATAGATCAAGGTCTCAAGAAGCTATGAGCAAACTTCGCGCTGCACAAATGGGCGTCCAAGCGATCCAAGATGATATAGCTGAGTCGCAAGACAGGCTGCGACGACTCGTTGAAGAATCCGTCGCAGAGGACGCTCTTGCGCCACAACTCCACGCACTCCAAGAAAATAACATGTCCCTACCGCCGGAAATCGCACAAGCAATACGAAGCTATGAGAGTCGCCGAGCAGCCAAGAGCGAAGAGATAAAAACCCAAGAATCAGCCATCAATGCTAAACGCGACGAGCTAAAACGAGCGGCCGAGGAACTCGACATAGCGGAGAAGAACTCGAGCGGCATAGAAGCCGACATAAGAGATCTCCAAGCGGCGGTGACGCGCGGAACAGAAGCAGCCCGGTTCGCCAGCATGTTCAGCGTGATGGTGCAGCTGGGGCCGGAAGGATTGGCGAACATTGAACAGATATACCCAGAGATTGGCTCTCTACTCGAGTCGCTGCTCGCGTCGAGGAATAGCCCTTCGCAGCAGAACCATAACAACAATCACCATGTGCATAATGCGGTGGACGGAGACGAGGCTAATGGATTGTAGGGATTGGGCACGACGAGACTAACGTTAGTATAGCGATTTGAGTATTCCTTATATGGCGAGAATAGATTTCCGCATTACTTAAGATTAATTTGATGTTCGTATCAGTTCACAGCGCATCCATTGCATCTGATGTTTAGTTGGCCAATATTTTCTGATTGAGTGCAGGGTAATGCAAAGTCCAGTGCTTGGGCCAACTGAATTCGTGTCGCTCAACGCTGCGTATGAGCTGCTGCTCTGTCCGTCCTTTCATCCAATTAGCTCGGTTCCGTGGTCTAGTTGGTTATGGCATCTCGTTAACACCGAGAAGGTCCCCGGTTCGATCCCGGGCGGAACCACGTTTTTTTTGTCCCCGACTCTCTTTAATCTCTAGTTCACCCACCTCGACGTACAATCTTTATATTCACTTCTTTTTGTGACTGCATCGTGGTAATTTGACACAATTGGTCTTTTCTTCGTAGGCAGTAATAGCCTGTAGTAACTTGAAGCAGTTTCAAGCATCGATAAATGGTGTAATTCGCTCTTATATGCATCCACCACTTTTTGACCACAGCTATCTCCATGGTCTAGTAATACGCGTCATAGGAGTCACCTGCCCATTCATAACTGTATAGTGATTTCCAGAGAGCTTGCTCCACAAGCTTGATCTTCTCAGCTTCGACTCTGGCTCGGGTAACATCGCAGGTCTCCTGGGAGTAGGGAGCGACAACGCCAGGCTTGTTGAAGACTGGCTAGCCATCAAGAAGCACCGATGGCAATGACTCATGCCAAATTGACAGATTTGGCCATGGCCGAGTAGACATTAGGCCCCTCAAAGAGTTCGAGGGTAGACGTGATCGTGTTCTGTCTAGCTACTATTCCTCTTCAAAAAGAACCCATAGATACTGACTTTAGGTCCGTTCTTCTAACCGAGAATGAACTTGTGCTGAAGAATTACCAGACCTCGCTCACCAGCATGAAAGCTGCATAGCTTATCCAGTTGATCGGAGAGAGTCTCGAAGGGGGAATCGCCACCGGCAGCCACTCCATCTGAGCATAGTCCCATCCACTTGAGGTCGACCAATATCCTCCTACGTTATTCGGGGGAGCAGCAATTGTGAAGTTCATCTGCCTTGGCCAGAAGATCAGCCTCAGCGGCAGAATCTGCGCCTTTAAGTTTCTGCCGAATGTGCGACCATTTGATACCCTCCTTCAGCCAGGCTTTGGAGCCCGTGTCAAGCCAGCCAATGTTGATCAGAGGCCTAGCCAGAGCAGAGTTGCCATTGCCTCTGAATGAACCCCGGATGATGGTGCGAGCTTCGGGGACCCCATAACCATGACGAAATGGTACAGAATCTCGATTGGGATATGGAAGGAACGAGTATCCATTAAGAACATCGTATGGAACGCCTTGCTCATGATATATTTGTTAGAAATCTCCACCACTTTTACATCTAGGAGGAAAGTGGCAGAGTTTTGCTGGAAAGCAAGGCGCCACGGGGGGACCAAGAGAACTAGGAAGTCAGAGGCTTGCAAGCGAGGTCGGTTGCAGTAAGTTGACATCCCCTGAAACACAAAGGGTTATCAGATACTTCAGGGGGCGAAGGCCGCTACAATACGAGTCAAACGCAAGATAGACCAGTCTGAAAAGGAAGGGATAAGGGAGGTTGTATTATACCTTTCCGCCATGTTCGAGGACCTCGCCGACAGTTTTGATAGTGTATAGGTGGTCCACACTAGGATCGACACCAACGTCGCTCAACACCGTGATATCAACCGCCTTGGATTGATTATCGACTCCACAAATGGCAGGAGACACGTAGCTTGTGGTAGCAATGCCTGTCTTGCTCTAAGTAGCCTATCGAACGATGGTCGCATGGTTGGCAAAGCTCACGAGAGAAGTAACGAGATCGTGTTTTGCGGTACCATGGTCAATGTCCAGTGAAGCGACGCCAAGGGCAACTGCTTTGGCTAAAGACCTTCTGGCTGCAATATTTCGATGGAAGAAAGCACACTGCAGGCTGGTGGTGTCCGAGGGGTCAGCGCATCGAAACTTCAGAGATGATGGATAGGACACTGGCCAATGTGAGAACGTTGTTCTTGTCCTGGAGTAGGTAATTGACACATGGCTTGTCGAGTACGTCACTTCCCAGAGAAAGAATCTTCTTTTCGGGCACGATGATGAGTTTGGGTGCAATGAGGGACTACAGGAACATTAACCGATTGAGATAGACTCTGGACTTTCAAGAACACTGGAAGGGCGTATGCAGTAGCCATTTTGCCAGCTATCGCAGCAGAGATAGTCCCTGTATCAAACAAGAGAACTTTGAGAATTGGGACCCCATACAATTGGGACCCTATACATCAAGGGTCATGAGGGTTGGGGTCTTTGAGCCACCTTGTAAAGACAAAAGATACTCGCTGTTAGTAGGTCATTATATGCTATTGATGGATCCCATTATATTTGAACTCTTGTCTCAATATATTCTTGAGATCTGTCTTGATGGATAATCTCGTTTCCAAAACCGCGACTAGCATCTTCCGGACACTCCCTAATCTTAGTTATGCCAAGTGAATATAAACTTCCAGCCTTAGGTATTGACCATATATAACACACAGAGTTCTTTGTTTAGATCTTATACACGATGTAAATAATCCCAGACAGCCAACGCATGTACCTTTGTAACGTGGTGAAACTCTGCGATTGACGCCGATTCATTCACAGACGCCACTGGGGAATGATCAATAAAATACTAGGCTCACTTAGTAGGAAGGACTCACTTGTTGCTGGGCTGCACCCAAAGATGTAAGCCGGGATGTCAGCATACCGATAATGCTTACAATCTGATCCGCCCATCGAGAGGATGGGAATAGGAGCCTCAGCATCTGGCTGCAGGCTCTTGGCGTTGTCTTTGAGATAATCAACGATGGGATGATCGATCACCGAGTAATTGAAACGATTACTCGCAGCAGCTTGCTTCTGGATCGTAATGCTCGCGGGCTCGTACTGCGGGATGATAGTGCCAATCAGCTCCAAGATCGTATCTTCTCGCATCCCAACAGGCATACGGATATCCAGCTCGAAGATACATGTTTCTGGGATCATGTTGACTTTGAGACCGCCCTTAATTGTGCCAACATTAACAGTCGGTCGAGCAATTATTGTTGTAGTTCCAGGGCCCATTGCTTGATCGATAGCTCGCTTGACCTCTGGCTTTTCCAGATGTCTCTCCATCTCGACTGGTAGATCAACTGGTAGTGATTCCACGGACTTGATGACCTCATTTATGAAAGCGCTGGCTGTTCGGATGGCGCCCTTGGTGAGATGAAGATATGGTCCTAACGCACCCTTGGTCTCGACAGTACATGTCAATCGCAGCGTTCCCTTTTCTGCGAATCTGATAGTATCGAGACCGCCTGGCTCGGCACACAACATGAGATCACCACCCCATCTTTGCTTGTCGTGTTCAATGAGATATTTGGTGCCCCATTTCCCACCAGTCTCTTCGTCCGCGACAGCGCAAAGGGCAACACTTCCCGACAGGAGATGGCGACGCTCGTACAAAAAAGCATATGCAATGATGAGCGAAGCAGTCCCAGACTTCATGTCTACGACTCCGCGCCCGTGGAGTCTTCCATCGACAATATCGCCCGACCAAGGATCTCGAGACCAGCCGCTGCCATCGCCGACGGGGAAAACATCGACATGGCCATTCAGCACGACGCGTGGGCCAGGGCCTTTTCCTCCTTGAAAATCGCTAACTACATTGACTTTGCCATCTCTGCTGACATCGACAAGTTCGTAAGGGATGTTCTTGGAGGATAAATATTCTCCAATGACTGCTGTTGCTTTGCTTGTGTCCCCAGGTGGGTTTGGAGATGGGGCTTGTACAAACTTTTGAAGAAAGCTGGTTTGGTTGAGCTCATCGGCTTTGAGAGCCTGGAGAAAGGATCGCTTTTGAGGCATGGTCTACAAATGTAATTTTTTTGGGGGATGAGGAAAGATGGATTGCGATTTCATCCCGTTTCGCTTGGGATTAAATACAATACCATTGTCGGCGATCATCGGAGAGTTTTAGAGAGGCGATGTGATGATTCACGCCGGGCTTAGGTTAGTTTGTGGAAGCATTGGCTTGGGTAAGGATTATTAGATCGTCCCTGGAAGATAGGCAGAGTTATAAAGAAAACATTGTAAAGTCATGTAAAAATTTAATTATTCTATAAACTCATCAAAATTCCCCAACTTGGTATCATTCTTTTAATTCTCTGCCCAACGACTGAAAATATCTTGCATCAGGTACCCCAAGGGACCAGTTGGAGAAGGTGGCCCCTCCAATGGCTGTAACTCTAATGGTGGATTCAATTGGAGTCGGGGCTGTGATGAGTGCGCCATGACCTCCACTGATGTTGATACATCCATGCGGGGGATGGTCCGCTTTGAGGCTTGTTCGTCCTCGATACATCTTGTCGCATGCAAAGATGGATGGCAGTCAGCCTGTCATAGCGCAGACTGGTCCAACTGGCACAAGCTCATCAATTGACAGTCAACAGGGATGAACAACGGCAGCCGTAGTAGTGAAAAGCCAAGAATGCATTGCTACATATGCTAACAACTATGATACAGGGGTCTTGGTGGCATCTGCAAAAATTAATTAGAATCCTTTTCTGGAACATCGCTCGCCCCCTCGTGTACGGGCGCACTACCTTCCTGGCCCTTGAGGACCTGCACACCAGGCTCGAAGGAATCTTCATCGTGGACGGGAGGTCCAGTGAAGTTCTTTCGAGCATAAGCAGCATACCAAACGATGGCAATAGCGGCAAAGCCAGCAAACACGGCAGAAGCGTAGTTCATGGTACCGGGTTCAACAGGGAGAGAAACAGGCATGCAGAAGATGACGATGGAGAAGACGATCCAGACGACGCAAATGCCATTGATGAGAGGGCCGAACTTGCCCAGAGGGTAGGGAGAGTGCTTAACAATCTTTCGGCCTCGCACCATGTTGACAGCGACAGGGACACCATAGGAGGAAGAGAGACAGATGGTAGCGACACCAGTGAAGGAGTTGAAAGCAGCAGAGGAGCCAAAGTAGATGCATCCAAGGATGCAGTCAACGACAGTAGAGAGGATGAGGGCATTGACAGGCATGTCGAGACGGTGGTTGACCTTACTCCAGAGCTTGTATCCGGGAATGGCACCATCTCTGGCGAAAGCGTAGGTGCAGCGAGACGCAGCGGTGAGGGCACCGATGCCTGCAAACATGAGAATGCCAAGAATAAGGAAGAGGAGACCGAAGCCACCAGCCGCAGAACCGGTAACAACCTTGAACAGGGTACCGATAGGCTGGGAGTTGGCGACGGAGAGAAGCATCTTGACATCGGGAAGGACGAAGAGAATAGGGATGAGGTAAATAATTCCGGTGACACCGGCGGCAGCGACGGAGAGGACGATGGCCTTGGGGACCTCACGTTCGGGGTTCTGGACCTCTTCACACATGGCAGCGACCATGCCGTAGCCAGTCAAGACATAAGCACCTATTGGTTGGGGATGGTTAGCGACCGTTTAATCGAAAAGGCTTGGCATACGTACCTTGCAGCAGTCCCACGAAGAACGACCAGCCTGTAGGCCAGCCACTTGCTGAAGCATCATAGTGGGTAAAGACGAACTCAGCAGAGCGACGCGAAGGAGCCATAACAAGCAATGTGACAATAATGATGATGACACTCGCACCGGTCCAGTAAATGCAGACCTTATTGATCAGGTCCAAGTACCGCGAACCGAAGGCGTTGACCAAAGCACAGACAAGCATCACAGCCCAGAAGCACAAGACCGTCTGCCATGTATTCGCGACAAAATCCTCGTTAAAGATGGTAATGGCGCTAAGAATTAGCTGCGCACCAGAAAAATTGATCGACAGTGTAACGGTCCAGTTTCCCACGAGCGTGAGCCAGCCATCGACGAAGCTGACGATGGGAGCGTAACGAGGCGTGCTGAGCATGGCGCTCCAGTAATACACGCCGCCGGCCGTTGGGAACACAGCGCAGATCTCGGCGAGAGATGCGGCGATGCACATGGAGATAAGAGACACGAGGACCCAGCCCCAGAGAACGGTGACAGCTTGGCCATTGGTCAAGGTGATGTACATTGTCGTCGAGAGACCGAAGGGGACGGCCATGATGGCGAACGACAGGCCGAGGACGCTCAGCATGCTGAGGTTTCGAGGGAGCTCAGCCTTGTAGCCCAGACGGGCGAGGGCCTGATCGGCGTCGCCGCTTTTGGTGGCAGACTCCATGATGGACAGCAATTACAGATAAAGGAGCAATTAAGATAGAGAAACAAAGTAGTAGGAGTGTTGTAATTAGGGCGTGGTACTCTGCGTACCTTTGCTGTGTTGTCGCGTCAATTATGATCAGGGGAAAGTGGACATTATTATCTTTTTAAAAAAGCAGACGAGAAATGAGAAACAGGAAACGAACGGGCCGTGAGGGGCCTAGACTCGGCGTCCTCCACGATCTAGGTCCTACTTATCTCTGTCCTCAACGGGTTAGTCCATCTGGGGTACACGAGCATTAGTGGCTTGACATTTCGGTCATAATACCGCTGATCACACGTATCAACGCGGCTACTTTCCGCCTGTCTGTGTCTTGTGCATGTGAGAAGAGCGCGATCGCGGCTATTCACCTCCTCCAAATACGAACATCGAAAGACTGCAACTTGAGCGATAACAAACCGACTCATCCTCACTTATATCTGATAACAAGGCAGCATCTCCACATGATAAGCATCGAGTCATTTACCCATTTCCCCAGATTGAGCTGATACGGATCCCAGAATCTCCTACGTAAAGACAAGCCCGAACAAGGAATCGTTTGATAGCGACCCCACCACGAGATAACCGCGCACCGAGCTGACACAGCGCGTCAACTGACTTTACTGGGCAGAACCCGTCAACCAAGATCCTCCGTTAATCTTCTCCGCATTCTACGTTTCGTCGGTAGTTCCCACGCTGGCACGCTTGGCCTCTTGCGGAGATATCCCTGTCTGACTCGTGAACTATCGCGTGTCACGCCTCATCGATGGCCTTGGCGGTTTAGTGATTCAGCCTTTGAGGGGTAACACCATCGTTACAAACTAATCAGACGTTGCATCTGTTGATTGGACATCGTAAAGCACTCTCTCCTTTCGATGTTGTAGTGTTGGTCTGCTGGTCATAGCTCCCAGTCAGCTGTATAGGAGCTCAGCCGCGAGCCGCGCTCTCTATCAAGACTACATGATAGCTGGAATATACTCGAATCAGCCATCTGCCGATGCATCCGGCTTGTGATTAGAAGTAGATGTTTAATTTCCATACTCATCCCTCATAAGACTTCCCATCCACAATACTGTCTGCTTTATCAGGATCACTTCCTGGCTCCTTTAGACCGGGCGCGATCATGAGGGTGGCGAAGCGCTGCTCCGTGCAGTTCACTATACGCGGCTACGATTTGTGGGCATTCTATACTTGACACTGCGGCAACATCATACAATGGTAGCAATACTGAGCCAGCATGTCTTTGCAGTATTGTCTGGAACCCCAATGCGTGAAGTGATCTGTGCGTGTGAATGGAGTCTTATCAGCTACTTGAGCTTAATCTGGGGTCTTGATGCAGCAACAGATGGGCCAAGAGTGCACATTGAGGAGAATTGACCAGTAATGATATCAGATATTATTTATTGACATGAAAGTACCTATCGTTTGACGCTGGTGTCTTCCTGTCGTCTAACACAATAGTCAAGTCCTGGCTTTTACGATCATGCTCACTTGTAGCATAGGGAGTAGCAGAAGTCAAAACCAGTAAGATTAGCTATTTTTCTGCAGTTTCGGCTCTTCGAATCAAACTGGTGTAGCTGTCAGTTAATCTCTACAGCAAGAAGCCCTTCTTGCCATCTTTAAAGACGCAGTACAACAAGACCAAAAGGCCCAACTTTTAAAAAATGAGCTAGGTTCAAACATTATGTTAGCAATACCGTAAACAGTATGGCTTGAAGGTTGTTGGCCAGTGTTGTTGGTTTCAATTCTTGGCCTGCCAGTGAGAAATCTCAACCATCACTCCTGTTACAAGGCCACGCTGGGAAAAGATATGAATGCCGAATCATGCAATTTAGTTTCTCGCAGTTGACTGTTGACTGCAATGAACACCATATGAAGCATATAGTTTGTTTGTAGCATTAGCTGAACTGGTATCAATCCATGCATAGGTAGGTACCTTACCTAACGTAGACAACAAGATAGCTCTGATTGTATGGATACGGTATAATATTCACCCGTTAATCACTATCATAATATTGAGTTTTTATCATCTATACAAAGAAAACTTAATAGGTCACTACTTAGATGAAATAGAGATGACATGGATAATAAATTGCACCATGCATTAGAAGTCACTTTAAGCATCGAGTAAGCTTACATCATAGCCGGCGCGACTGGCAATCTAGGCGCCAAAGTTGCTGAGGGGTTTCTCCAACAGCCATTTCGCGATAGGTTCCATGACATCATAGTCCTGGCACGCTCCCGGTCACCCAAGGCCGAGAATCTCATAAAGCGCGGCGCATCACTGCGTCTATATACCGAGGATAGTTTGGAAGAGGCACTAGCTGGAGTTGATGTCTTGATAAACACGTATGTCTTCTTCAGATTGATCGTGGCAAAAACTGACACAATTCGTTCTCAAATACAGTGTAGGACCCAGTGGCCATCACTTCAAAGAGAGCCTTCTTCGCAGCATTCCTGCTTCCGGCGTAAAGCTCTATTTTCCTTGCGAGTTTGGTGTTGACCACTATGTGCACGACTTTCAACACGAAGAATGGGACGCTAAGAAGGCGCATTTCCAGCTTGCATCAGAGCTCATCCCCGACAGAAGCATATGTCGCGTCTATGCGGGCCTATTCCTCGAGGACTCAATCGGTCCATGGTTTGGTTTCGACACCAAAAGCGGCAAATACGAGGCCGTTGGAGATCCGGGGCAGAAGACTTCGTACACGAGTATGTATGACGTTGGCAAGGCGCTCGCCATACTCGCAAGCCAACCAGTCGGTACTATACCGCCTGAGGTGCACCTTAGCGGCGATAGCAAGTCTATGGCTGAGATAGCAGAGATCATGGAAGCGAACGGGGCTGGCCGCATCCAAGTGACGAGTGTGCCGCTTGAAAGCTATAAGGCCAGTGTCCTGGCGAAGCCATCGCCTACGCCTGAGCGGTACCTACGTTTCTTAATGGGTGAGGGCAAGATCCATCACTCTACTGATGGTATAGGTAACCAGAATGATCTTGTGCAGGTAACTGGAGGTCTATCGACATGGATGTCAATGTCTGAATTGGCAAAGGAGACGCATGGAAGGCCATGGGCCGAAGCGGATTGGGACCTGGTTAACTAGTGATAATTTGGGCAGCGAGAGTGAGATAATAACGGCCGCTTCTCGTTTAGGATAGCATATCACTATCACAGATGAAATGATTTAATTGGATTATAGTCTGAAAATCGATAATGCCGAGGAAAATCATGAATGCCACTTCCGCTTGACGTACCCCAAGCCTGCACCCATGTGTCATTTGATCGCGTCTGAAGTCAGAGTCTACAATTAGTAGCGAGATCTGACTGCAATTAGCATCAGTCTCAAAGATGTAAACATTCTAGACTTTGTTGACTCCATGCTCATCGAGGTATTTTTGTGACGCGAAGGAACACTCTGCCGCAAGCTAGTATCACACCGACTGAGCTCGACTGGCTACTAATCTGCAATTACATGGATAGATCTCGAATAGTTGAGTGGCGGCCGCTGAGGCTATATACTAGATGCTGTGTGAAGAGCATTCAGCCGCATCGTGATGGACCTTTTGACTCTTGAGCTGGCTAGCGGCATTTGCGGGTTCATTTCAGCCAATCTCATCACATGGATACTTTGCATGATTGGCCCTTCACACGAGGCGGATAAGACGGCATGGCACTCTATCCGTTTAGATAACAAGGTTGGAATCTACCGAGATCTTTTGTCTTTTTGTCCCAGACGAAATGGGAGTCATGAGGCACGACGGTATAGTTCTAATCTCAGTTCGGTAAACATATTGCTGTGCCTCATAAATACTATTCTCAAGGACGAAAGAAAGAGGCATATAAAAGGCTGGAGTTGTCACTCATGGGCATTGAGTTCTTGTCAATCACTTTCAGTCTCAGACTCTTCGTTACCAGCACCTTCTACATTTCAACATATCTGTTCATCATGAAGTCTACAACCACTATCCTTCTTCTGCAGTCGGTTATTGCTTGCGCGGCATTCACGATGCCGGAGAAATTGCCCAATGGTGTATACAGTGTCCATGTCAACGATCAAGGTCTTGAAGTTTATGAAGGACTCACAGTTGATCACTCTACCACCGTGACCCCAAAAGCACCCTCATCTAAGGTGGAAGCTCGCCAGTGGAAAGATGAAGGTGGATGGGACCGAAGTCAACCGGAGATGTTCTGTGGATGCGGGTATGTACAAGCATTGGCATCTTCGTCTCAGTCTAGTGCATAGTTAACCTATTTGTTACATATTATAGTCTTTCCATGAGCCATGGAAATTGCGATACTGCAGTCGACATGCTCAAAGCACAGTTTCGTGACTCTGACGGCGGCGTGGGTGAGGTTACTCAGGCTTGGTATTCTATCTGGGATGATGTGGTAAGTCGCTTTCGAAGCCCGTCCTGGTATACATTTGTACTCAAGTAGACGGACCCATATCTCGAACTATTTGCTCACACTAGAATAGGTTGCATTTTGCTGTACTGACGGTCAGTATCCGATGACTGCCACGAATTACGCGGGTCTTCTTGAGCGAATCACCGATAGATGTGGCTGGTATGTGCCGGGAACATTGGTGCCGTCTTCTATTGGTTTTGATACGATTGGTTGTGGCTACATGAACTATTCCCCTGGCCTCGACTTCTGTGGCGCTTCAGACACCGGCAGATTCATGGGCGACAACGGACGTTGCTGAGCCTGAGAATATTCACAAGTCACGAATTTGGCAAAAGGGGCCCTCCTCTGGTTATACTGTCAATCATTAAGACACTGCTTCTGTCCTTCATAGTAGAAATTTGATGCTGTGTCCATAGTATATATATTGACATTGGCTAGACCAAAAGACCTTTGGTTGTGTCTCTATGCTCTTTCTTAATTGATAAAACGAGGATCAGAGATAACCGTGATACAAGCAAACCGTATCCTAAAATTGACAAATGTAGCCTAAGATTAGCAGAGATATCCTAGTCTTTGCTAAGTTAACCTGAGTCTTCTTATGATTTAGGATCAGGATCCAGATCAAATTCTACAAGCCACGGATATTGCGTGAGTCCCTTGCTTCCCATAAGTGCCGCATTGACAAATAAGGTCTCTTCTGGAGCCAGTCGCTCTTCGTCGCTCTGGCAGTAACTGGCGACACAACATCTCTGAGACTCATATAGCTGTAGCCTTTCTTCCCGAGCTTTGCTGTCTTCTGGGGACTCCCACTGGGTCCCTTGTAAGCGTGGCAGACTCTCGACAATTCGCGACTTTGCATTGTCGATGTCGCTGAAATGGGATGGATTTTCTGAGATCTTGGGTCGCCAAGAAACGATCTTTGCACCCCAACTGCCGTGGACATGTCCGAAACAGTGGATTCGGGGCTGTGATTTTGCAATGGCAGAGAATAGCTGAGGACAACCGATTCGTTGCCTTTCTGGTGTCATATCCATTATGCCATGTGGCGGGCCATGTGTCACCACAATGTCAACCCCCTTTGGAATAGCAAATTCGTGGGCCCCATTGTACTGAAAGCCCCAATCTGTGCTACCGGCTGTTGCAGGAATGTATGGACTGACATAAAGCTTGATCCCGGCGCCATTCTGGAGGCGAATCTCATGCGTTCCTTCGTCGAGGAATATGATACCATGGCCTGCTTCTATGAGCAGCCTCTTGGCCTCACCGTAATCTCCGTACTCATCTTTTATGCTTCGCTCGAGGTCCTCTTGTGCTACTCTGCTTGCTTCGACAATCTTATCCTTGAAGACCCCATCGTCAAGAGAGAAGTCATGATTTCCTGCAATGACAATCTTGTTCGGGGCATCGATTTCCTTGAGAAGTTGAATGGTTTCTCGGAAGCCTTTTAGTTTAGAATCTTCCGTGAGGTCACCACAATGGATGACAAGGTCGACTGGTGCGAGTGGTTTCTTATCGTCATTGAAGCGTAATCCATGAGTATCTGAAAGGATAAGAATCCTTGTCTTGATGAGAAAGGACATCTTCCAGGCCTGCATTTGTAAGGTAATGAGGTTTTTGGAGAGACGTTATAGTAAATGGTAAATATGGAACATGTCATCGAGTATAAGTGCGCCATTAAGCTGATATTTAGGTAGTTATGTGAGTCAGTGGAGGAAGTTTATTTTGTGCTTCAAGCTTCCCAATGGGTACCTTAGTTGCATATCAGCATAAACCTCAAAGAATGAGTTCCAGCGATAAGCCTAATTCCGAAACTTTACAGAGAGAACTCACTTTATGACTCAACAGAAAAATAATATTGATTGCATCAATGAGCATCCACGGCTAGCACATACGGAGGCCAGGAGAGGAAGAAAACTCAGGATCTTAACCCTAAGCGATGAAAATATTTAGGTAAATTCAGCTTAAGCTTAGGGGACTTTTTGTTAAGTTTATTTTAATACCCTGTATTAAGGTATGGTATTTTCTTGCTCCTTGAGGCTGACCTATGTAAATGTCCAGACTTCAGTGTCAATGGTGTGCATGCATAAACTTCGATCATCGGCCCGATCTCAACTCTCATCGCGAGTACCATTTACGAGTGCAGCTTTCAGGAGAATGATCGATGATGCAATCGGCGGTAGATCTGGGGAAGCTTTAAATAGGTACATAGTAGAGCATGCTACTGCTAGCGTGTTCTGGAATGGCTACTCGTGGTGAATGTACTCTCTGCATTAACATCATTTACTAGCCATCTTTATTTGAACATTGCATGAGCAGCGTGATGCATGTTCGCATCAACCAAAGACACCCTTGGCTGCACACTTCTGAATACACGACTAGGCATGTACTTGTCCTTGCTGATATTGCTAACTCAGCGGGTCGAGCATTCCCGTCGCTTCCATTCGAGACCGAACTTCTCTCACAAGTGCTTTTGCTTCCTCCACTTCAACCCCATCCTGACACAACTCTCCCGCAAGTCGAGAGGCCGTTATGTAATCTCCAGTGCGCATTGAGAACTTTGCCAGCCACATGCGCGCTTTACTTGTCGCCGCCGTGACTCCGGTTCCCTCGTTTCCTGGGTTCTCGTTGCCCCCGGCTCCATTGTCTGAGCCGGGTGGAGAGTCGTTGTGAATAGCAATGGACTCAGCCGGATCAGCTTCTGCAGCTCCACCACCATCTTCCTGGGCCACGCACAATTCCATGTATGACCTGGCTTCTTCCTCTTCACCAAGCTGGTCGTACATAACCGCAATCTGCAGAAGGATGTCGGGGTCCATATGACCCGTGGCGCTCCGGCTGCCAAGGAGATCACCGCTGCCAAAACTGCTCCCCACGTCATAGTAAGCATCAGCTAGTAAAGCTCGCTTTAAGGCTTTGATGCCATCCCGTTCTCGGCCCATCTTTTGTAGGCATGAGCCTACAGCCATCCACATCTTTCCGTCCCATGGTCGTAGACCGGCAGCCTTCTTGTAGTACCATAATGAGTATGTATGCATCTCCAACATCTCGTATGTTTGACCAAGACCATACCAGGCCCGATAGTCCCGGCGGTTCACGTCAACTGCACGGCGGTACGACTCGATTGCCGCATGGGTGTTTTTAAGTTCAACATATTCGTGACCCATTAGCGTCCATGCTGACAAGCATGACCGGTCCAGCGTTAACGCACGACGGAAATATTGGACAGCCTTCTCATGCATCGATAGTAAAGAGTAATAATTTCCAATCACCACGCAAGACTCGGGCCTGAATTTGTCCACGCTGGAGCATAGGTGTGCCAGGAAAGCCAGTTTTGGACGAAGATTGAGAACGTAGAGAATGTTAGAATAATGGTCGAGAGAATCTAGCCGATGTGGATGGAGTGCCAGCAGTCGAGTAAAGTGCTGTTCAGCAGCCATCAAGTCCTTGGCGTGATATGCTAGGAGTGCATTGCATGTGAGAAGGAAAGAGGATGTTGGGAATATCGAGAGAAGTTGTTCAAGAGAATTGGCCAGACCGGGCCCTTGTTGGTAGAGTTCTAGAGAGGTGTGCAGGTGGAACATGTAAGAGACAATATTCTGAGGACAATGTCTGGATATCCGGTTCAACTTGGAAGGTGTTAGCGATCGAAAAGAAGCGATGATACTACATGGGGGACTCACATCTTCCACTCGAGATATTAACGACGTCATTTCCAACCAACAGCCCCAATTCATGGTGTACTTGTGCACGCTTCGAATGAAATATTCCAGTGCCTTGTCATCGTTCTTCTCTTTGGCTAGCACCATGCCATACCTGTAGGTTGTGATTAGTCGATCAACACTAAATCAACAAGAATAGCACCCACAAATATTCGAGCCATCCCTGGCTTCCCAATACCTCATCGTCTTCCGTTGTCCTCTCCTCGAACCAAGTTGCTAAGAATCGACCGATTACAAGTAATTGCTTGTTGGCCACTGTACCAAGATCTTGAGGGCCCATAACCATCTCAGAGTCTTCGTTCCTGCGCTTCTCCCCGGACATGAACTTGGCATATAGTGCTAAGAACAGGCTCTTCTGACTGAGCTTTGGCAGTGGCATCACAGATGAAGCGCTGGACGCCTTCCCCTTCCCCTTTACAGCGGTCGTGGATGCTGAAGTGCCGTCTACACGCGAGGCAAGAACACTTGAAAGGAGGGAGTCGGGCAGAAACACAGCAGCGCAACGGTCATATTCTCGACAGTCAAAGAGAGACTTGGCTAAGAGATATTTGCTAAGCTCTTTGGCTTCCAGAATTGCTTCCTCTGGATCGCTGTTCGCAGCGAATATCGGAGAGGTGTGTCCGGGATCTGAAGGGTTGATATTTTCTTCGTCTTCTTCGATCTCGGGGAGCGCATTGAGCAGTTCAGCAGCCCTGACAACGTTAGTTTATGCGCCATGGTTGATAATAGTTTGGTGAAACTGATCACCATTTTGACGACTGATACAAGCATCTTTCTGAACATTTGACGACGGCATCTTGCAAGGCAGCACGTAACTGGGAGATCTCGTGGAAGCTGAGTGCCATCTTTTGCTGTTTTGTTCGTTGGTGGGGTAGCTATTGACAGAAGGGAGTCGGTCGCGGCACGAAGTTGGGAACGCCTGTGCTCTACCAGTGGATATTCACTGAATTGAGACTTACGAAGGCCGCTACCAGGTGAGTTATAGGTAGCCAGGCTACGGGCGTTGTTGGCGGTCCCAATGCGAAGTTGGGAGGTGTCATGAGCATGACCACGAAGCATTGACAATCCATCATGTCAACAACTTGGGGCGCGCATCATAGACAGTGTTTTCCCCAAAGGATACTGTAGATCCGCACTATGCATGATGGGTACAACAAAGGCAACACAAAAGAATATCGCCAGGTAGTATGGATCAGAACCGTTGAACTTGAACCGTCACTTGTTACACACAATTTAAATTTTGAATCCGTCAAGGGCATGGCTGTATCTTACGATGTGCGAGAATCTTTTTTGGACGTGGACCATTGAACCAATATTGCAGCCACCTCCCTTCCATCCACTTACACTCATTTTAAACGTTGGATGCTGTACGACAGCAGCGCCAGTAGAAAGTAAGATCAGTCAATACTCCGAAATCTTGGTGCAACCACTCGAGTTTTTTATCAAGGCATTTATGAATACAGAGTTTTATTCATATCTGTGTGAAATTATTTGTTAGCTTAACCGATGGAGATATACTAGAAGACATGGGTGAAGTTGAAGGATAAAAACCTGGCTTTATCGCCGTTAATATGATCAG